CAGCTCTACACCTTGTTATCTCAGATTCTCCAGCATTGGCAGTTCCTATCTTTCCAAACATCTCTCCTTCTTAGCAAAAATAGGAAATTGATTTAAATGTTTTATTGATTGTCCATTCAAAGGAAATAATTTTTGTTTCTAATAAGATTCATAATTTTCTAAAACGTCTTGAATGTCCTCAGTTTTCTCTGCTCTAGTGGAGATTGCGCCAAAATCACAAACTTCTTGTGGAGAGTGTTGAGTAGGAGGAAAGGAGAGGAGGAAAGGAAAGAGAGATGGTGGCATACCAGTCATGTCAATGGACTAGTAATCCAGACAACCAGGCTATTGTTGTGGGCATTTGAGTTCAAATTCCACCATTACCTACTGAATTTTAAGTTTCACCAGCTGCAAATAACCTTAAATTAAAAGTGAGTCTCAGTAATGGTGACCATTAAATTATCACTGATTGTTTTAAAAGTCCATCCGATTAACTAATGTCCCTTAGAGAAGCAAACCTGCTATCCTTATCTGATCTGGCGTACATGTGACTCCATAGCAATGTAGTCAATTCTTAACTACCCTCTGAAATAGCCTGACACATCACTCAGTTCAGAGGCAATTGGAAATGGAAAACAATGGCCTCGCCAGTAATTACCACATTCCTTAAAATAATTTTTAAACTGGCACCAATTATGCTGTGCATTGTCCGTGGCTTTCATTCCCTTGCTATAACGGGGCATCCAATGCTACAAACAATGCGGGAACCAATGCCCTACATGCTTTACATAAATTAATCAATACTTGCTTGCTCTTATATTCTGCGCTATTATTAAAATCTGAAAATGTTATTGATTTTATTTACCTGAACTTGGAGTATTTGGAAATAGTTTTTGAACTTCTAGATTCACTACCGTTCAAAATACCTCTGTTAAATATATGCTTCACCCCATGTTTTTAATCCTCCAATATAGTGCCTCATACTCTGGTGACGATTCACGATGATATTATTACTATGTGAAAATTTAGGGTTCTAAAGTGGGGGAGCCAATGTGTATCTTTAAGTTTGATTTGTTTTCAATACTGTGCACATTAAGAAGGCAAGGTACAGTTTGAGCTTATTTTGAGTTCTGTGATTATGGGCTGGCTGGAAATTTTTGAAGGTGTAATATCTTTCTCAAAAAACCCGAATAAAATGAATAAGTATGCTTTCCCTTTCACATGCTACAACAAAAAAGAAACTAACTTTTTGAAAATACAGAAGCTATAGAGCTCAGTAATGATAAAATCGCAGCTGCGATATTGCAGGGTTGAATCTATTGTTGCGATGAGAAGAGATCATCTTCCATTGAGGCGTGAAGTCTAGTTTCACAAGTGCTGTGATTACTGCACAGCAGTTACAAGTTCTTTAATATATTGTTGGTGATAAAACACTTAGAGGGGAAAAACGAACAATTAAACTAAAAGCAACAACTGACTTTTAAACCAGGAAGTCATAAGGGTTTGAAAATATGTTGAAAAAAGGGGAAGAGCCAAGCCTGGAAACACAATAGTAATATGATGCATTTCTAAACTGAAAGGAGGGGAAATAAAGTCGAACATAAAGTACCATAGTTAGGCACAGCTTTGCCGCCTTTAGCCCTTATCTCTTCCACCACTCTATCAGCAGCAGAGGAACTTTTGCCTTCTCCTTTTATGTTACCTCCAAGGTCGTTCACTGTGAAAAGAAAATAAATTAGAGATGTAATTTTGTAGTCATGCAACATTTTATTTCTAGAACACATGAAATTCCGGCATCGTGTTTAGAAACAGAAGTAACCAATACAACCTTTTTACCCTGCTCCACACAGTTCAACGTGGTCTGGGCTGATATCCAGTCAACTCCATTTTCCCACCTTTGGTCCATATCCACTGATACCTCAACCAAACAAATAGCACAACCAAATAATGGAGAGAGGATTGTGTTATGCTTTTGTTGTTGGACTAGCAATCAAGAGGGCCAGGTCATGTTCCGAAGAAGGGTCTAGGCCCGAAACGTCAGCTTTCCTGCTCCTCTGATGCTGCTTGGCCTGCTGTGTTCATCCAGCTCTACATCTTGTTATCTCTAATGTTCTGGAGACTTGGGTTCAAATCCCATCGCAAATGGTGGAATTTGAATTCAACTACAAAATGGAATTAAGAATCTCACGATGACTATGAAACCAACGTTATTTGTCATTTTAAAAAAAAACCATCTAGTTCTCCAATGCCTTGAAGAGTAGAAAACTGCCATCCTTACCTTGTCGGGCCTACGTGTGACTCTAGAGCCACAACAATGTGGTTGACTCTCAACTGTCCACTGCTATGACCTTAGCTAAAATTATTAAAAAGTCTCAAAAAAAAAAGAGGCCAGACGGACCACCTGGTATCAATCTAGGCATTGTAAACAATAAAGACAAACTCACCCCTGCGAAGTCTTCCTTACCACAATATGGCGGCTACTGCCAAAATTGGATGAGCTATCTCACTGACTAGTGAAGCAACAGCCTGACATAGTCATACTCATAGAATCATATCTTGCAGGCAATATCCCAGTCAGCACCATTACTATCCCTGTGCACGTCCTGTACCACTGGCAGGACATGCCAACCAGACACAGTCAGGAGGGAGTTGTTCTGGAGTTCTCAAAACTGACCTGTAACCCCATGAGATCTCATGGCTACAGGTCAAACATAGGCAAGGAAATCTCATGCCTGCTGAAGAATCAATTAGCCTCCAAATTGAACATGACTCAGAAGAAAGATTGTGGATGGCAAGGCCACGTACTATATTGTGGATGGAGGACTTCAAAGCCCATCGGTAAAAGTGGCTTGGCAGTACCACCACTGGTTGGTTCCTGATGTTCATGGCTGCAAGACTGAGTCTGTAACAGGTGGTGAAGGAACCAGTGTGAAACTCCTACTTGATCTCATACTCACCAATTTGCCTGCTGAAGATCCATTTGTCCATGATAGTGTCTGTAGGAGTGACCATCACAGGAAGCTACAACACTGAACTACTTGTATGCCAATCAACATAAGCAGCAACTTTAGAAGTTGTAGCCTAAGGAGTTTTCATAAATTTATGTAATGCATCTTGTGGATAACACACATTGCTGCTACTCAGCGACAAAGATGGAGGCAGTAAATGTTCACAGTTGTGGAGCCAAGCAAGTGGGCTGCTTTGTCCTGGATGGTCTTAAGCCTCTTGAACATCATTGGGTGACTTGTGTCTTGTAGATAGTGGAATGTAGGAGGGTTGATCAGTATACTTGCAGACGATACAAAAATGGGTGAGGTGGTAAATATTGAAGAGATTAGCCTTAGACTACAAAAGGATTTGGACAGGCTAATCGGATGGGCTGATCGGTGGCAAAATGGAATTCAATCTGGATAAATGTGAGATGATTCACTTGGGCAGGACAAACAAGGCAAGGGAATACATGATGCATGGTAGGAGCCTGGGAAGCACAGAGGATCAGTGGGATCTTGTTGTGCACGTAACAGGTCCCTTAAGGTATCAGGTCAAATGGATAAAGTGGTTAAGGTATCATATGGTATACTTGCCCTTATAGGTCGAGACATAGAGTTTAAGAGCAGGGACATTATGCTGAAACTGTATAAAATGTTGGTTAGGCAACAGCTAGAGTATTGTGTGCAGTTCTGAAATCCACATGATAGGAGGGATGTGACAGCAGTGGAAAGGGTGCAGAGGATGTTTACCAGAATGTTGCTTGGACTGGAAAATTTTAACTATGAAGCGATATTGGACAGACTAGGTTGCTTTTCTTACAGCAGAGAAGATTGAGAGGGGACATGAACAAAATGTATAAAATTATGAGGGGCATAGATAGGGTAGACAGGAAGGAACATTCCCCTTTGATGAAGGAATCAATGACCAAGGGCCAAAGGTCTAAGGTCAGGGCAGAAGGTATACAGGAGATGAGGGGAAAAACCTCTTCAGCTCAAGCATGGTGGGAAGCTGGAACTCACCGATTTTAAGGCTGGTAGAGGCAGAAACCTTTATAACATTTAAGAAGTATTTAGATGTACACCTGCAATGCCAAACATACAAGGCTTTGGGTCAAGGGTTGGAAAATGGCATTAGAATACAAGTCTCCCCGCCCCCGACCACATCCCAAAACCAGCCCAGCTCATCCCCGCCTCCCTGACCTGTCTGTCCTTTCTCCCACCTATCCACTCCTCCCACCTCAATTCCCACCCCCACCTCCTACCTACCAGCCTCATCCCCGCCTCCTTGACCTGTCCGTCTTCCCTTGACTGACCAACCCCCACCCTAACTCCCCATCTACACTCACCTTTACTGGCTCCATCCCCGCTTCCTTGACCTGTCCGTCTCCTCTCCACCTATTTGCTCCTTTATCCATCTTCCATCCGCCTCCCCCCTCACTGTATTTATTTCAGAATCGCCTTCCCCTCCCCCATTTCTGAAGAAGGGTCCAGACCCGAAATGTCAGCTTTCCTACTCCTGCTGAAGAACTCCTGCAGTCATGTCCTAGTGCTTAGATGATTAACCTTCGACAATGACAGCCATCTTCCTCTGTGCCAGATATGATGACGACTAGTGGATGTTCACCCCCCAATTTCCTTTGACTCCAGCTTTGCTGGGGCTCCTTAAGTTCACACTTGATCAAATACAGCCTGATGTTAAGGTAAGTCATTCTAATCTCACCTCTGAAATTCAGCTCTTTTACCGATGTCTGAAGCAAGATTGTAATGAGGTCAGGAGGTAAGTTACCTTGGCGGAACCCAAACTGGGTGTCAGTGAGCAGGTTATTGTTGCTGACAACACTGTTGATAACCACTTCCACCAATTGAGCAGACTGATGGGGCAGTAATTGGCTGGGGTTGAATTTATCCTAATTTTTGGGTACAAGATATACTGGGCAACTTTTCACATGTTTGGGTTGATGCTCATGTTGTAGCTGTACTGGAGCAGCTTTGGTAGGGGTGCAACAAGTTCCAGAGCACAGGTCTTCAGTACCAATGCTGGAATGTTGTCAAAGCCCATGGCCGCTGCAGTATGCAATGTCTCCAACTGCTTCTTGATATTATGTCGAGTGAATCAAATTGACCACACACAGGCATCTATGATGCTGGGTCCTCTAGAAGAAGTCCGCGATGGATCATCCACTCTGATGTACTTAACCCTCCCATTATTGAGAAATAGGATATTTATGGAGTCTCTTGGAGTAGTTAACTGTCACTCACTATCAAGGTTTACACATGAAAATGATTGCTTAGATGAGATAACAGTGCAATACAGCCCTTATAACAAGTCGTAGTTTCAAAAGACAGAGGATGAAAATGAGAGGAAATCTATGAAAATGATGCTTAAGAAAATATGCATGGTGATTTAATAGAGGTTTGAATTTGAACAGCACTTACCAACCACAGAAGCTCCTCTTTCTGCAAATAACAATGCATACGTTCTTCCTAAACCTGTAAAAAATCTTTGATTAATCTAGATGCAAGGTGCATAATTTTATAGTTAAATATGTACTTTTTGACAGACATGTGTAAAATTTTACATGTATGATGTTATGTAAACAGCAATGTATCTGGCCAGTATTTTTTTTCCAAATTTTGGCTAAATTGTTGCAGTTTAACAATATGTAAGGTTACCTATTTCAAATATAAAGTAATTGGATAATAAGCTGTTGCACAATAGTAGAAAACATTACAATGCTTTAAGTGAAATGCTACCACTGAAGTATGGCTAATCCAGTAAATTTCATCTAACATTGAAGAGCTCAATACTATTCTAAAATGAGCAGTCTTCTGTAACATCACGGTCTCAGACTAACATTATCACAGTAACTTATTATTTATCTCTATTATTATGCAATCCAATTGTTTGTTTGATTCACAGATTTCAACTAACAGTTTATGTGCTTTGCATGCAAAATACAACCATGGTGCAGTTTAAATTAACTGTTTTGGGAAAAAAATTAGATTGGGAAGCATTTTCTTTGCTGTGCACAAGTCTGATGATCAATCTTACATTTCAAAAATTCTCATGAATAGGTTAGCAGGAAATGTGTTGAAAGCAGGCAACAAAATTTTATCCATAGCTCAACTAATCAATAAAACTCAACGGCCCCAGTGTCAATACTGACTGTGTTGATTTCAGCTCAGACAACAGTAGAACGATACAAATGATACAACAAACTTTACAACTGTACTAGAATAGCGTTCCTAGCTGGCACCCTAACATCACACTTACCTTATGTACTTGAATATAGAGGCTGACTGTTGGCAAAGCAACCATGTTTTGCGTCCCTTTGATACTTCTATGCTACTTCTATACAACAGAATTTTCAAAATGGAAGTGCAGCTCCAGATTTTTGAGGGAGCCCCAAGCAAACTCTTCTCTCAGAAACGTGGAGCTCCCTTATTTTCCAAAAAGGAAAGGACAGAGAGGCAAGCTGCACAAGATCGCTCCCTCAGGAAGTGCGACTCGGTTAAAGAATCACATATCTAACTTTGTTAATGGCTCAGCAAATAGTGCAGATAGGATCACAAAGAAACAACAGATGAACGTGAGTGAGCAAGCATAGCGGATGGAATTCAATGGAGGATTATAAGGTGTAATTTCACATGAGGTCAGAGACCCAGCTCTGGGCTGAAAAGTCAAGGACAAGTCCACTGCTGCAAGGCCAAGACAACCCGAGCTGATTCTACATCCAGTTACTGGCCTAGGATGAGATTTCTACTCCCCTCTGGAAGGGCAGCCTATTTGCAAGAACTGCTGGCCATCTCTCCAGTCCCAGCAACACCAGTAAAAAAAAGTGGTAACCACTGCTGGGACTGCACTAACAAAGACACTCTTCACCAACAAAGAACCTCGCAGGATCTGGATAACAAGATGATGAATGGACGCTTTGTGCCAGGACCAGACTAGCAGGATTTCCTGAGAGGGCTTAAGGGCACACTAGGAGGGAAATAAGCAGGGGTGCAGAGTATCATGTGGATTTTCTGTTAGATGTGTGAAAACATGAAGAACCCCAACCTGTTACAAGGGTTCATTCAGAACTTCAACATATGATGTGGACACCCCAAAGTAAACTACCAGCAGCAAAAATAGGAGGTACCCCTTAAGTGGCCATCAAATGGCCCAAGGGCATGCCACCTGATATCTCCTACCACCGGTAAAACAGGATGGACACAGGAAGGCATTATGCCATATGTCATCTGCCCATGCCACCCAATTTTACACTTCCCCCACCTCATAGGGGGAGGGCGCATGACGCGTAAAGTTCTAGTCAACCATTCTGAATAAGTAGATCTGATTATGAAAATTGAGGATTTCTGTCCACTAACAGAAATTACCAAAAGATAGAGGACAGATACAAAAACTAATTAAAAGGATTGCTGGACTGCAAGCCTTCAGCTCTAGCAGCAGAAATACATAAAAAGTGGCAGCTGTACTGCAATGGAAAAAAGGTTTTTCAGTTCATATACAACTGAATTAACAAGACTTGGAAAGGATATCGAATGATCTTGAAGCGGGGGAGGGGGGTGAATCTCAATTTCATGGGAATAATGTCTGCTAAGTGGGTTAAATTACGTGAAAAACTGAATACCTTAGGAATATATTTGCTTGGGCATAAAAAAATAAGAAAATTAATCCAATCTAAGGTGTTTCAGATTATTAAAAATTGCAATAGACTAAATAGAAGGACACTTGTGGTACAGTGGTAGAGTCCCTAGCACTGAGCCAAGAGGCCCAGGTTCAAGTGCCCCATGCTCCATAACATGAAAACAAAAAAATGCTGGAGATTACAGTAGGTCAAGCAGTATCCATGGAGGAAGAAGCAAGCTAACGTTTCAAGGCTACATGACTCTTCATCAGAGCTGAAGTATGGAGGAGGCAGCATTTATGCAATAGTGGAGGGGAGAGGAGGTTGGAGTGCCGGACAAAGATTGTTGGTAGTTCAGATTAACTGATCGGAATGTGAGAATGGCAGAACAACGGTGTGTCTAACTGCCAGACTGGAAAGAACAGACAGTCCCATTGGGGTGGGGAAGAGGCGAGAGGGTGACAGAGATTGTAACAAGCAAAGGTGAAAAAAAGGGAAGGGATGTGTTCATAATTTGAAGGTGTTGAAATCAGTATTGAGCCCAGAAGGCTGTAAACTGCCTAATTTGAAGATGAGATGTTGTTCCTCCAGTTTGTGTTGCAATTTGCTGGAGCATTGCAGCATGCCAAGGACAGACAAGTGGGCATATGAGCAAGACGCTGTGTTAAAATGACCGGCTACAGGAAGGTTGGGGTCATGTTTGTGCACAGACCAGAACTATTCTGCAAAGTAGTCACCCAATCTGCATTTAGTTTCTCCAATGTAGAGCAGACCACAATGGATACATCGAATATAATACACAAGATTGTAGGAGGTACAAGTGAAATGCTGCTTCATCTGGAAAGACTGTTTAGGCCCTTGGATAGTGAGCAGGGAGGTGGTGAAGGGGCAGGTGTTGCACTTTCTGCAGTTACGTGGGAAGGTGCCATGGGAAGAGGGGGGGTGGTGTTGGTGGTCAAGGAATGGACTAGTATATCCCGGAGGAAACAGTCTCTGCGAAATACAAACAGGGGAAGGAGGATAAGATGTATTTGGTGGTGGCATTCTGCTGGAGTTGTCTGAAATGGCGGAGAATGATCCTCTGAATGCGGAGGGTGGTGGAGTGAAAGGTGAGAACAAGAGCAACCTGATCACGCTGTTGTCAGTGATGGGAAGGGGCAAGGGCTGAAACACAGGTGATAGGTCGGATGCGGTTGAGGGCCCTGTCAACCACAGTGGGCGGGAAACCACGGTTATGGAAGGAGGAAGCCATGTCAGCAGCACCGTTTTGGAAGATGGCTTCATCTGAACACATACGACTTGGGCGAAGGAACTGGGAGAATGGGATGGAATCTTGCAGGGTGTGGGGTGGGAAGAGCTTTAGTGAAGGTAGCTATGGGAGTCAGTGGCTTTGTAGTGGATGGCAATGGATAGTTTATTCCCTGAAATGGAGACCAGGAGGTCAAGAAAAGAAAGAAAAGTGTCGGAAGTGGACAATGTGAAAGTTATACAGGGCTGGAAATTGGAGGCAAAAAGGACAAATTTTTCAATGTTCAGGCAGGAGCATGAAGCAGCACCAAAACAGTTGTTGATGTACCAAAAAAAAAACCGTTGTGGAAAGGGGCCTGTGTAGGACTGGAACAAGATTTGTTCCACATACCCCATAAAAAGGCAGGCATAACTGGGACCCATGCCAGTGGGCCATAGCCATTCCTGTGTGTCATAACACGTCTGGACAGGTTGACTTTTTATAAAGAGTAAATGGAAAGTGTCTCCCTAATGACAGAATTTTCACCTTGCTCCTGAGTATAAAACTTGGACAGCAAACAACTAAGTGGGAGTGGAGGTGGGAGCGGGAGTGGGGGTAATTTCTTACAAAGACGCTTTTATACAAAATTCAGAGCAGTCAGCAGGCTATGCATCAGAACTGATAAACTACTACAAAGTTGCAGTCTCGACATCTCCTCCTCCTCCTCTGATGTACACATTAAACCTCGAATGAGTGCACTATTTGTTAACGTATAGTGAAGTCTGGACAGACATTCTGATTAACTGAGCAATTCATATCGCGGGTGTAACGTAAGTAAATATTTAAAAGGTACAGATTTCATTTGTGGCTCTTAGTGGGCCGTCGACACTGTTTGGAAGTTTATTTTTTTTTAAATAAATGTGGAATATTTAAAACAGCTAAATAATATTAAGATCCATTTTTGCACCGTTACCTTCCGAAAGGTACAAACAGAAAAACAAAGCCTAAAGCGGAAGAAGTTTTAGCAAAGCCCGAGTTCGCAGCATTAAACCTGATCGTTAAAGCCGGGGAGGGGGACACAACCCGTCAATAAAGGATAACTGGTGGGAAAGAGAGAGAGGTTTAAAACACTGCACCAGGCACCGACCTCCTCCGGCTCCTGTCACCAGAACCACCTTCCCATCAAAGCGAAGAGGAAGAGCAGCTCCCACAGCCGCCATGTCTCCGCCGTCACAGGGAACCCAGTGCGCCGATGCGGGCCGCACTGCAACCTGGGAGATGTAGTCCCAAACTAGTCCCAAACCATTTTCTGATGAAGGGTCTAGGCCCGAAACATCAGCTTTCCTGCTCCTCTGATGCTGTTTGGCCTGCCGTGTTCATCCAGCTCTACACCTTGTTATCTCGGATTCTCCAACATCTGCAGGTCCTACTGTCTCCAAACCAGGTACTGCCCAGGCACCAAAACAAAGTTGCTGGAAAAGCCCAGCGGGTCTGGCAGCATCTGTGAAGGAAAAAAAACAGTTAACGTTTCGGGTCCCGTGACCCTTCCTCAGAACATCATCCGCAGTTCTTTCGTTTTTTTTTACTGCCCAGGTACCGCCCCGACCAGGCGCTGCCCAGACCAGGAACTGCCAAGGAGCTGCCCAGACCAGGAGCTGCCCAGACCAGGCACTGCCCAGACCAGGAGCTGCCCAGTCCAGGCACTGCCCAGACCAGGAGCTGCCCAGTCCAGGCACTGCCCAGACCAGGAGCTGCCCAGTCCAGGAACTGCCCAGACCAGGAACTGCCAAGGAGCTGCCCAGTCCAGGCACTGCCCAGACCAGGAGCTGCCCAGTCCAGGCACTGCCCAGACCAGGAGCTGCCCAGTCCAGGCACTGCCCAGTCCAGGTATTGCCCAGACCAGGTGCTGCTGAGCTCTGTCCATTGTCTACATGCTTTCACATTTCAAGCATCCACAGCATTTTCCTTTTAACTACAATAGAGCTTTCTCATAACCTGACAGTTATTACTGTGATGTAGATGGGATTTGTTCAAGGAAATGAAATTTCCACTGCACAATTCCCCAGTGATCACCCCACCCCCACTCCCACCCCTAACCCAAAGACATATATCAGGGTCACACCAAGGCATTTCTCCACCTATGCCCTCACTCCCATAATCCCCTGCCTTCAGCATATACAGTTCCTAGCTACTATTAGTTCTGATAAAGGGTCAGAGACAAAAAAAAACTGCAGATTATGGAATTCAAGATAGACAAACAGGAGGCTGGAAGAACACAGCAAGCAGGCAGCATCTAAGAGGAAGTATAGTCCAAGTAGCTATGGGAGTCTATGGATTTATTGTAAATGTTGGTCCATAAACTGTCACGTAAATGGAAACGGAGAGGTCAAGAAAGGGAAGGGGGTGTCTGAGATCAAGAAAGGGGAGGGAGGTGTCCGAAATAAAGAAAGGGGAGGGAAGTGTCATAGCCACCTGGACTATACCTCCGCCTACCCTGTACCCTGCAAAAACTCCATCCCGTTTTCCCAATTCCCCAGTCTCTGTCACATCTGATCCGACGAGGAGACATTCCACTCCCAAGCATCCTGGAGATCCTTCTATTTAAAACAACGCTTTTCCCCACTCTGTCATCCAGACAGCCCTCCACCACACTTCTTCCATTCCCCGATCCTCAGCTCTAACCACTCCCCCGTCCCCCTTGTCCTCACTTTCCACCCCACCAACCTCCTCATCCAACGTAATATTCCTCAAACACTTCAACTGTTCTGTTGAATTTTCATAAAACAAAGAACTGCAGAGAGTTAAAACAAACCAACTCCAGAAATTGCTTGAAAAACTCAGCAGTTCTGGCAGCACTATGGAGAGAAAACAGAGTTAACATTTCAAGTCCAGCGACCCTCCTTCAGAGCTTTGAATTTTCATGTTAGACATAAATATATACATTTTGTTCATTTTTAGTCTTGTATGGTGAATGACAATGTGGGCAGAACTTGGTTAGTCAGGCATTGACTTGAAATAGGTTACATCATAGGTGGCACTCACATATTGATGAAGAGGAGTTGGAAAATCTCATTTATTGGGTTGGCAAGGCTACTTTCTAAACTTGGGATCTTTACCGCTTACAGGGACAAGGGCAACAGTAGCTTGAGAACACAACATAACTGCAAGTTCCACTCCAAGCCATGTACCATCCTAACTTGGAAATTCCTTTACTGCTGCTGGATCAAATCCTGAAATTCCCTTCTTCACAACACTGTGAGTCTTTCTACATTCCCAGGACTGCAGAGATTCAAGGAGGCAGATCAGTACCATGCTCTGAGGGTCAGTTAGGAGTGGATAGTATATGCTGGCCTAGCCAACAACACCCACATCCCAAGTATGAATAAAAGAAATCTAGCATCATCTGATCGAAGCACTTGGGCTTGGCAGCATTTGTGGAGAGAATATATCATCATGTTGTAGGTTAAACCTTTTCTTTCAGATAAGCTTTTGTTTCACATTTAAGTAGCTCAATAACTAGCAAAATCTGACAGTCATAAAACAATTAATAGAGCGTCCAAATCAAGACTGACAATGCCTCAATGGAAGACAATGGAAAAGCAGTGGTATGCACCTCTTTTGCCAACAAATATTTCCATAACTGCATCAGAAAGGAATAATTTTCATTTTTACAATACTTTTCAGGACTTAAGGATATTTGAAAACACTTCATGCTGATTAACAACTTTAAATGTACTGTAAATAAGCAAAGGTAATTTCTACAAAGCACAAACAGAAACGATGCATCTGATCAAATAACAAAATGATCAAATAAACTGGGTTAAAATTTGTTTCAGGGATAGTAGGAACTGCAGATGCTGGAGAATCTGAGATAACAAGGTGTAGAGCTGGATGAACACAGCAGGCCA